TACGAATTCTGTCTCAGTATTGTGATGATAAACAGCAGCAAAGGTTTGATGGCTGTCTTCAGTCTGGAAATGCAATCTGATACAGCCATGCAGCCTCACATCCATTACCATTTGTGTGGCCATATGTATAAATCATATCTGCCTGCTCGCAATATGAATATCCTGCCATTGTTAAACGGAATACTTCTCAATTAACTCACTACTACACACATTGAAGAGAGACGAGCCATAAATGTACACGAATGACAAATGTAACCACATCTACATGGCAACACAGCGCAATCTACCATAAACTTTCTTGAAACTTAACTCAAAAATAAAGGATTTGCAGACATAATATTCCATCCATTTGTTCTTGTTTTGGTGTGAGGAATCTGCCCCCAAAGTTAGTAAGCATTTTTGCTACATCCTGTATATATAATTTACTCTTATGGTTAGGGCAAGTGTTGCAAATGTTGACAAAATATTAATGGGATGGTAGAACCTGTTAGGGTCCCAGCTATGGGTAAATAGTGAAGCCCTGAACCAAAACAAAACAAAACACTGAAAGTATAAAAATACATTTTTATAGTAAAAATACTAGCAATATATCTTTATATAAAAAATGACCAACAATACATATAGTAAATTGACAAACTACATTTTTAAAGCAAAATGACCAACAATACATTTTATCTGTAATTGAAGGCAAACAATCGAGTTCAAAATATTTTAAATTGCAGCCATAAAATGGTGTTCAAATTATTTAGATTTCAACATTAAATAATCCATCATGGTTGATATGCTGCTAAACAAAATCAACCAATCAACAAAAAATTTTAAAATTTTTGTTCATAATTATAAAATTAAAAAGAATATAAACAACTAATAAAAATTCAGCAGATAATTTTTATGTCTAATATTGAAGAATTATTTGAATGTTAATGACCCTCCACAAAACTGTAGAAAGTATAAAAATATTTCTTACTGGCAGTGATATTAATATTTTATCTAGGAATGTAACCGAGTTATTCCCATTTAGCCTTTTGATTTTTTTTATACAGGTTCTTTGCATATATGTTTTGAATATTTTTGGGGGTTGCATATGTTAAAATGCCTTTTTAATACTTAACAGTCACCAACCACAATTTCCAATCACCCACCATTTTCTGTTGAGTTGCTAATCACCCACCCAACAGTTGAAATTGCCCACTGGTGAACAATATTGCCTATGTGGAGAAACTCTGCTCTAGATGTTCCCAATGTTTTAAAAAAAAATGAAAGAAGAAGTAGACAAAGACGTCAAAAAAGAAGACAAAGACAAAAAGAAGACAAAGACAAAGAAGAAGACAAAAGACAAAGAAGAAGACAAAGACAAAAGAAGAAAAAAAAGACAAAAGAAGAAAGACAAAAGAAGAGAAAGACAAAGAAGAAAAAAAAAAGAAGAGAAAAAGAAGAGAAAAGACAAAAGAAGAGAAAAGACAAAGAAGAAGAAAAAAAAGAAGACAAAGACAAAAAGAAGACAAAAAGAAGAGAAAAGAAAAGAAAAGAAAAAGAAAAAAAGAAAAAGAAGACAAAAGAAGACAAAAAGAAGAAAAAAGAAAAGAAGACAAAAGAAGAAGAAAAAAGAAAAGAAAAGACAAAAAGAAGAAAAAAGACAAAGAAGAAGAAAAGACAAAAGAAAAGAAGACAAAAGAAGACAAAAGAAGAAAAGAAAAAAGACAAAGAAGAAAAAGAAAACAAAAAAGAAGAAAAGAAGAAGAAAAGACAAAAGAAGACAAAAGACAAAAGAAGAAAAAGAAAAAAAGAAAACAAAAGAAGAGAAAAGACAAAGAAAAGAAGACAAAGACAAAAGAAAAGAAAAAAGAAGAAGAAAAGACAAAAGAAGACAAAGACAAAGAAAAAGAAGAGAAAAGAAGAAAAAAGACAAAAAGACAAAAGAAGAAAAAAAAGAAAAAGACAAAAAGAAGACAAAAAAGAAGAAAAAAAGAAAAAGAAGAAGAAAAAGAAAAAGAAAAGAAAAAGACAAAAGACAAAAAGAAGACAAAAGAAGAAAAAGAAGAAGAAAAAGAAAAAGAGAAAAAGAAAAAGAAGAGAAAAGAAGAAAAGACAAAAAAAAGAAGAAAAACAAAGAAGAAAAAAAAAGAAAAAAAGAAAAAAGAAAAAAAGAAAAGAAAAAAGAAAAAAAAAAGACAAAGAAAAGAAGAAAAGAAAGAAAAAAAAAAAAAGAAAAAGAAGAAAAAAGACAAAGAAGAAAAAGAAAAGAAAAGACAAAAGAAGAAGAAAAAGAAAAAAGAAGAAAAAAAAAAGAAGACAAAAGAAAAAGAAGAAGAAAAAGAAGAAAAGAAGAAAAGAAAAAGAAAAGAAGACAAAAGAAAAGAAGAAAAAAAACAAAGAAAAGAAAAGAAAAGAAGAAAAAAAAAAAAGAAAAAAAGACAAAAGAAAAAGAAGACAAAAAAGAAGAAGAAGACAAAAGACAAAAGAAGACAAAAGACAAAAAAGACAAAAGAAGACAAAAAGA